AAAGAAAAGCCACTTTTAACTCCACGGCAAAAGAAAAATAGATTAAGATGGACTAAAGAACATAGATTTGCAGTGTGTGTTGGGGACAGTAGAAGTAGAGTAATTCGCAAAAAACATGAAGCCTTCCATCCGGACTGTTTAAAGAAAAAAGTCAAATTTCCTGCGTCAGTCATGGTGTGGGGCAGCATGTCATCCAAAGGGGTAGGAAAACTCCATTTTATCCAAGGAATTGTAAATACGGAAAAGTATCTAGACATTTTAGAAGAATCGCTGTTGCCGGTCATGGAGAAATATTTGACATCAGGGAAAGATTTTGTATTCCAACAGGATGGCGCAGCATGCCACACTACAAAAAAAGCACTAAAATGGATGGAAGATTACAACGTACCACTTTTGGAATGGGTTTCCAGTAGCCCCGATTTGTCTCCGATCGAAACATTGTGGCATGCGATGAAAAAAGTGTTGCGGACACATCCTTCCAGAACAATCCCTGAATTAAAGGAAAGGCTTCAGGAGATATGGAATTCGTTTACACCACAATTTTGTGAAGACTTGGTTAATACTATGCCACAAAGAATTTCGGCAGTTATAAAAAATAAAGGCGATGTTACCCAGTGGTAAACATTAAAACTGTTTTTTCTTGAATGTTCTGTTCTTGTTAATATTTTTCTGTTTGTTCTCATTTTGTATAAATTTATCGGTTTTTACGTATATATTTTGGTAAATAGAGTTTAATTATGTAGGTAAATAAATTTTTTTAAAAAAAGTTCAGGTTGTACTTTTATTTTGTCACAAAGGGACAAATTTCTAAAAAATTATAAGGTGGGCCAACTGAAATGGGAAGGGGCTCGTATAGTGTGATATATGTCACTTTCCTAAGTGGTCATAGGAAAAATTTTTTTCTTAATAAATTAACATTTACTTACGTGCACAAAACATATGTTTCCTCATGGATGGGGCCAGCCCACAGTGTATGCTCTCCTTAACATACATATTTATTCATAAGATTTACTTTGGCGTTAAAAAATTAATAGTAATAAGACAAAATAAAGTTGTGTTCGATTTATAGGGGTCGCAAAAAAGAGAAATAGCATGATTTTTTCAGGGTTGGTTGAGGACTGTCTCCTGGGTATCCAACCAAGAAATCACACTCGAACTTCTGGTACGATTACGCTATAAGGGTGGTTTCGCAAACATTTTTTAGAGCAAAATAGCTTTGATAAAAGTAATAGAACAAATTATAAAGAGCTTTTAAAAAAAAATTGTATCTCTATCTCTAATACTTAACGAGTTGCAGCGTATTATATGACAAAAATTTCGCACGCTGCAAGGGTGATTTCCGAAACATTTTTTAGAGCAAAATTACCTTCATAAAAGTTTTATAGAATCAAATTCTGATCAATTTTTTTTAATACAAAAATCGAATTTTTGTATTTAATGATTTTAAGTGCATTACACGTTTTCCATACTGCCTTAAAATGATAAAATATTAAAGATATAAGTTTGCCCTTAAAATCATTAAGTATTAGAGAAACAAAAAAAAAATATTTACAATTTAATCTTCTATAACTTTTATTAAGGCTAGTTTGCTCTTAAAAACTATCCCTATAGCGCAATTCGTACCAGGAGTTCGAGAGTGATCTTTTGGTTGTATACTCAGAAGACACCGTAAAACAATCATCCTGCTTTGATTTTTTTTTTTTTTTTTGAAACACAGACATTTTTCTCGGATTATTTATCACACAGATGTTTGAATCTCAACATCACACAATATCCTAATTAAATTTAAAATTACTAAGACCTGAAGCGCCATCTATTATTATAGAAGTGATTACCTTTAATAAAGAAATCTATATATTGAGCAGTCAGCAGAGCATACTGTGGCGCCATCTGTGTTTCGTGATTGAAAGTAGTAAAAGTTATACAAAAACTCATAATATGGCCTTCATTTAAAATATTATTCTATGCAGGACATTTTGTGAATATACACTACGTCTTACCTTAATTTCTTGGAAAGCTGATATAGTAGATGCTTCAATAATTTTTAAAGTTTTACTGCATTCCGACATTTCATCAAAGGTATTATTTATTTCAGCCCAAAGTAAAAGCACAGCTTTTTGCAGAATTTTTAAAAATAAATAGTTTCGAAGAGTTTTACCTTTACCCGGAGCCAGGCCCGGCGAGAGGGGGGTAGGGCGATAAATTCCCGGGGCCCGGCAGCTTTAGCTAAGGTCGTTTTATGTTTTTAGAAATTCCCCACAAAAGGCAGGACGTGGTTTGCGAAACATATAAGGTGAGGCCCTTTTTTTTAGATTTTGCTAAGAAATTATCTGATTTTTTTTTTATAAAAATGTACCGGGGTCCACCATGGCTCTCATATAAGACAATTTAAATTACGTTTATCAGAGAAACATTGTCTCAGTGCATTTCATCAATTAATTCTACCTTATTTTCAACCATAAACTCGGCTTTTCCTATGTATGCAATCCTGTGTATGCAATCAAAAATATGATCATTTAATTCTCTATTATATTTGCTATATGCATTAATAATTTTTCACATTGAGAAATAAATTTATTATTAACATCGCCATCATAAGGACTAATATTTTCGATTTTAGACAGAAGAAGATCCCAGTTAATAGGATGATTCTCCGGTAATGGTGTCATATTTTCAACTCTTTTAGTCATATTTTTATTTTCGGATGAATTTAAACTGAGATTGTCAAAAAGATTGAAAAGATTAGAATCGCACATAACATTTTAAAGTAAATAACTATATTTTTTTTTAAATATCTTAGTTACTATCTTCCCGATCCTCGAAATAGATTTAAGGATCTCTCTCCTGAGCTTCTGTTTTTCGCATGAATCAGTTCCAGCAGAGACAACCCAGTGAGACGTGTAACTCTATGTATTTTTTTTTTTTTTTCGGTAAAAGTTGTTTGAGCGATTGTAACCACAATAAGTCTATGATGGCGCCAGTAGTAAATATCGGGAAAATTAAAAATTAAAAATACTTTAGGGCGGGAAATTCAAACATGGATTCAGAAATAAATAGTTTTTCTATACAAATTTACAGGAGAAACAAAAATTATTGTTTCACTGTTTATTAAAAAAATATAGAAGCTTCCAATACCATCAAATTTTTTATCATATAAATAATTATTTTAATAAAGGAAGTTTTAATCAGTTTAATAGAAGCAGTGAACATAGTTTTTATTACTCTTGTAAATTTCGTTAAAAAAAAATTGAAAATTCTATTGATTATTAAATATTTAAACTTGGAAAAATAATACACCAAACTCTTTTTCTATAAATTATATTTTTGTAAGGTACAGATAAACAAACTACAATTGCTACGTTTAGAATGTACCTCTTATCATTTTGTGACAAATTACAAAGAAAGTCACAGTTGTTATATATTCATAATATATTAATATAAACTGCTGGCCACTCGAACTTACACATAGAGATTTTTAGGCAAAATTTAAAGTTCAATATTTTCAATAGGAATGCAAATTTTAGAACGCGGCTTCCAGATTTTAAGAGCTAGTTTTTTTCGGATTAAGCTGCATGACGCATATTTATCGTAGGACCATAGGTTTATTATATACGGGGTGATCAATGAAGTCATGCAAAAAATCAAAAAGTTTGTATGACTGAAATTTCCGCAAACAATTTTTTTGGTCGTTGCAATATGGTTCGTTACTTAGGTAACATCAATATCTCTAGATATTTTTGTCAGCTTTTGGATTAAGGCTCTTAGGCCTTGTATACACTGCTAAACATGAAATTTGGGTAGCAAAATGTTTAAAATGATATAACTTGACATTAGAGTCACCAAGATCAATAGATTTATATGCCATGCCTTCTAAAAGCGAATGAAGGATGATAATATACTATCATCATTTAAACAAGACGTTGCTGAAGACTTATCCCTGTTATGTCGTCTGTTTGTGTGTCTTGTGCGTGTGCATTCCTGTTGTGTCCCCAGTCATGTAAAAGTTTTTCTAGTCTCCTTATTTGGTAACTAGGTGGACCTTCTTCAACTTTCAAACATAGCAAATAATATTATTAATAACAAACACTATTTAAAGATGAATACATTTTTGTAATTTTTTTGTCGTTGTCCCTTACCAGGGTATACCTATTTTCCATACTCCCTTAATTATAGATTACCTTACAATGTTTGAATGAATATAACAGTTTACCCATGAAAAATCTAATTTCGAATTTAACTCTTTTTCAATTTCATTTGAAACAATTGGTATATTACAATTTATTAACAAGGAAATCTTCTAATAAAGTTAGAGCAGATCCTACTTAAACTACTGGTTTTTCTACAGGATAAATGAACTTTTCTTGAGATTAATCTCTCTCTAAAATCCAAAACCGACGTGATGTCCTTAAATTTATTTTCTAATGCATCCTGATTTAAAATTCTGCTCTTTTGTGATTTTTTTTTCTTGGTTTAAATGACTTTACAATCTTCTAATACTAGAGAAAATAGTTTTAATCTCAAAATTATGAATATACTGATCCATTATGTGTTATTAAAAATTTAAAAAAAATTAGATATAAAACTTAACGCTATGGCTATATGAGTTTGTAAATCAAATTTAAAACCTAAGGACATTTAAAATCAATTTTAAAAATAATTTGATATTTACATATAAGTAGTTTATTTTTTGGTATTACTTAATATTGTAATTGGAGCCACATCTAGTGTTCTTCCTGGTGTCTCGCAGTTTGAATTATTTCTAAGCTTCTGTAAGATAGTTGAGTTTTGTTTTACAATCCCTGTCTTTTTCGGTTTTCCTTTAGGTTTTTGAATTACTATTTGATTTGAGTTGTTCGAGTTATGACGTGGTTCCTCTTCACTTTTTTTTCCTCTTCTAGTTCTTCGTCACTTTCTTTAACAAATTCTTTATGAGAAGGAGTGAAGAGTTCGCTATGTACTTTCCTAACATAATAGTTTTTTCTATATCACTTGCAGTGTATTCAATTCCTATTATTAGGTTTTGTGTTTTGATTCTTATTTCTAGCTTCTTTTAGTGCAACTACTAGTCCTTTTCTCTCTTTTAACTCAATTTTTCTTTCTTGTCTTTCTAACTTCACTTTTAGGATGTTGTTTTCTTCCTCAAGTGATTTAACCTTTTCTTTTAAGTTTTGGTTTTCTATTTGAATTGCAGTTGTTAGAGACTGTGATGTGATTTCTAGGTTTTCTATATGTTCCGTTAGATCCTGCTTTACGCTTTTCGATAAAATGTATACGTCTTTAAGTGTTATGTTTTCTTCGGACATTTTAACTGAATCATTTAATGTATTAATTTCATTAACCTGGTATATTACGCTACTAACTTATCTGGGCTTCTACTCCAAAAAACGTTGACGTCTATCAGCAAAAACTAGTTTTGCCAATAATGCACAGACAAATTGATCAAAATTTGTTTTATTATTGCAATATTTAATTTAACTTTTTTAACTGTTTTATAGCTTTAAATTTTCCGGTTTGTTTAATATAAAATTCACTACATAAAATTGAATTTTTGATCACATTATTTTTAATTTAATCAGACCACCGAATGAACGTGTACTTCAACTCAACTGTCTCGATGTATGAATATGAAATATATTCATTCAGTTGAACGCAATGACCAACTTTTTCGTTGTTTAGTCTTTGCGTAAAATAGCTTATATAATTTTTATAGATTTTAAACGGATCGACAACACCACAAATGTATAGGATCTCTTAACCTCTTTATTGATAGTATTTTAGGTTTGAGTTTGGTTTAAAATCAAGGCTTAGAATAGTGGCCGAACAAAGGAGAAATTTATAAATTTTAGAAACTATTATTAAAAAAATATTACTATTTGTGTTTAATAAAATGAAATATTTTCACTGTCACAACAAACGTATCATCCCAACGAGAATTTGATCTTCAAGAATTTCTATCTGGTTGAACATCACCGTTACAAGGGGGTGTGTTTATATCTATAACTGTTACTTATTTTTAAATAGTTTAAATCCTCTTGAACCTACATTTGTATCGATTACGACCCAACTTATTCAAAATTATTCCAAAGTCACTCCTATCTGTAGTTAGTTGTGCTGCATTGAAAACCATTTGCATATGTAATATTTAGGCTATTTTTGTTCTATTCAAATGATTGTTCCGAAAAAAGAATAAGACAGGTATGACTAAACTTCTTTAAATGTATATTTATGGTTTCACTTTAATGTCAAAAGGTTGAACTAACGAAACAAATGATGAAAATGGTTAAGTACATAGTAGGAAGTACTCGTAAATATGTAACTGTAACTATTATTTACTGACATTGATTAAATAACAATATTTTCACTCAAGTTTATAATAGATATTTTTAAATTAAAAATATCTTCCTATACAGAAGAATGAATAAATGTGTTTTAAAATTGTCTTTTAATAAATTTTAGAAAATTTCCCTTTTTACCTACTGATTGCAGATTTTTCACAGATTTAAGGAAATTTTTTTATCAATGGCAACACTGACTTGCGTTCCTAACTTTTATTTTTTATACTCAGCAGCTCTATACACTGCGAAGTAATAAAAATCGTTAAAATAAAGAATACCAGTTGATAAACTAAAAATAATACTTCAGCTATATTTTTATTCTTAACAATTAAATGGCTAATAGCTTTAACCAACGAAGTCATCAATTTTTCAACAAGTAAAAAAGTTTCAAAACAACTTTTTAAGCAATATGTATTTAGTTACATGTTTATTATTCAAAATGAATAGTTAACGATCATAATGTGCGTTTCTGTATTTTCGAGATACTTTGTAGCAAGATTGCTTTCTGGAAATATAATATATAGTTATTCAAGTAATAATTACTAGTATACAGAGTGTCCCAGAATATGTGAACACTCTTACAGATTCAGATAGAATATATACTCAAAAAACTTGACTTCTAAAGCCAATCTGTTTATAAAACCATTCTCTTTAGATAATAATGCTTTAGAAATACAAAAATACCTTAGAGATACACTTGAATGTACCAACATTTCCTGTGAAGAACTAAATCCAGATTCAAAAACAAAAATTTACAAATCTTTTAAGATCACTGCAAACCAAGGAACAGAAAACGGTTTATGGCAAGAAAACATTTGGCCAAACGGGATCACGGTAATGCCTTTCAACTCCAAACCACATCACCATGGAATAAACACAAATAATCACTTTTTTCGAGGAATCCCTGAGAGACCAGAAACAAATGAATCAAAATTTAGAAGTTACCAATACCGACGAAACAGAAATTTCCATTCTCCATCAAAATACTTCAATTAGACAACCTACTTATTAATAACATGACAAACGTAAAAATTGTTTGCTTTTCAGAACATTGGCTGTTTTCTAACCAGGCGACATGTTTCAATCTTACAAATTTTAATAACGTAACTACTTTTAGTACAGAAACACATATCCATGGGGGGTAAGTGTATATATATTCACAACACTTTACAAAGCACTGAGATTCCAGAAATTAAGAATATGTCAAAAGAAATCCACTGTGAAATAACTGGGGCGTTTATTAAAAAGCTTAATCTGGTACTCATTGTTATATATAGGTCCAATTCACAATATTTTAATTTTGAAATATGTCTTTACAATTTTATTACTATTAGAAGCTAAACACAAGAACTAAAGCCGCCTGCGTGCCATTTCCTATTTTGGCGCCCCCTAGTTAGGGTTATTAGTAAAAAATACACAAACTTTCAAAACAAATTTAATTGTTTTTAAGCTATTGCATAGCTTTTATCGCGGGCTTTGAGCGCGGCGACCGAATCAAGAAATTCCGTTACGAAAAAAAAAACTTAAAACGCCCCACTCCGACCGGCACAGCGGTGCGGCGTTGAAAGCCGTGGAAGGTTTTATGATCCAACCCTATTCGTATTAGTATGAAGCGGAGTTAAATATACGTCTGCGGACTGGAACGTTTCTGAATACAAGAACTAGAAGAGCTTTCTCTGGCTTCTATTAAATTGGTATCACAAATGTTCCCGGCTGGCGTAAATATTAGATATTAATTTTTTTGCAAGATTTATAAAGTATTAATTTTTATTTTATTAGTGTTAACTATTTCATTATTAATCTATTGCATAGATTTTATCGCGGGCTTTGAGCGCGGCGACCGAATTAAGAAATTCCGTAACGAAATAAACCTAATACCCTCGAAAAATCGAAAAATCGAAAAAATCTAAAAATCGTAAAATCATAAAATCGAAAAATCGAAACAGAAATTCCGTAACGAAAATAAACACCCCTCACTCCGACCGGCACAGCGGTGCGGCGTTGAAAGCCGTGCATCGTCTAACGAGTTCGGCAGACTTCGGCACGGTGTTTGTGTGCGTGCGACTAGACGTATGCGTGTAGACTAGCTGTCTCAAACTTATGTTTCTTATTTCAGTTACCATAAAGCTATAGTTTCAATGATAAAAATTCCTGAATAACCTACATGTATTGTAAGATAATAAGAATATTTTAAATAATATTAACTTCTCATTTATTCAATAAAAGAAAAAAAATCTGATGTGTCCAACACATGACTTTCCTATCTAGTTATTACAGGCTTTTTCCGTTTATTGTGTACAACCTATTGCAGCATCTCTATAAATGTTTAGAGGATAAACTAAATATATACATTGTCCACATGCATCTACCGCGAAACATTTTTCTATAGATATTCATTGAAAATGAAAATACTGAAAAATTTAAATTTAGCACTTTTCCTACAATTTTTCCATTACGGTCCATTTAAAAAAAATCATGTATGAACAAATATTATAGAGATCGATATCGCAAACAATTTTTATTTCAACAATTTTCATAAAAATCAGAATTTTGCACATTTTGTCAAATTTCTCGAATACGGACCATTTCAGGAAATTTTTACATAAAGCAAAAATTAAAGATAATAATATTAGAAGTAACTTTTATTTGAACAATTTTCTTCTCCAAACATAAATAATAGATATATTCCATAAAATATAAAAACGGCCTCCCATAAAGTACCCCCCCAGATGTTCCGACTTTGTCCAAAATCTAATCATTTCACGTCAGGCCGAAATAAAACTTAAGTTTAAAATTTAACGTTTTTTTCTTTATCCGTTTTTGAGTTTTCTTCAAATTTCGATATTTACACATTTTCTCAAATATCTCGAATACGGTCCATTTTAGAGAAATTATCTATGGAACAAAAACTATAGAGAATTATATTACAAACAACTTTTGTTTGAACAATTTTTATAAAAAAATAATTTTTTTTACATTTTGTCAAATTTCTCGAATACGGACCATTTTAGGAAAATTTTGTATAGAACAAAAATTATAGATAATTATATTAGAAGTAACTTTTATTTGAAAAATTTTCTTCTCCAAACGTAAATAACAGATATATTCCATAAAATATAAAAAAGACCACCTATAAAGTACCCCCCCAGATGTTCCGACTCTGCCCAAAATCTAATCAGCTCATTAGACGCTGGAATAAAGCTTAAGTTTGAAATTTGGTGTTTTTCCGTGTATCGGTTCATGAGTTATGCGTTATACAGACACACACACACACACACACACACACACACACAGACACACACACACACACACACACACACACACACACACACACACACACACACACACACACACACACACACACACACACACACACACACACACACACACACACACACACACACACACACACACACACACACACACACACACACACACACACACACACACACACACACACACACACACACACACACACACACACACACACACACACACACACACACACACACACACACACACACACACACACACACACACACACACACACACACACACACACACACACACACACACACACACACACACACACACACACACACACACACACACACACACACACACACACACACACACACACACACACACACACACACACACACACACACACACACACACACACACACACACACACACACACACACACACACACACACACACACACACACACACACACACACACACACACACACACACACACACACACACACACACACACACACACACACACACACACACACACACACACACACACACACACACACACACACACACACACACACACACACACACACACACACACACACACACACACACACACACACACACACACAGACATCATCGCGAAAATAGTCAAAACGGATTCAGGGGACCTCAAAACGTAAAAATCCGTCGAAAACTCGAGGTCG